ATAGAAATTTGTTGAAGTATTTGAGAGGAGGGAAAAAGTTCAAGTTGCTAATTCACATTTTGGACAGTTAAAGTGCAACAAACTGCTGCAGCATTCTTAAAGTGAATCTTTATCTGATTTCTGCTAATCTCAAAGTGCAGCCTGGAGCACAGGGTTTGTCTTTACCGACTGGTTTCACTTAGATTTCTGCAGATCAAGGGAACATTAATCAAATGTTACGTCTGTTTGACTGACTTGTCTGGCAATAATTTACCAGGCTTCTTTTATCTAGTGATTTCAGCTGATAAAATAAGATTTTCTAAATTCTTTCCAACAGCTGTAACCAAACTAATGACGCTCGGGACTCTTGGATGGTCTGTAAATTGATTCATGAAGCATTTGCAGCCTAAATGCTTTGGCTTTAAACCGACAGCATGATGCTGAGCAGGAAGTGTGGCCTTATTTACTGAAGTCAAGATAAAATCTGTTGGTGGCAAACATCACAGATTAAAACAGGACTGAGCTGCATTCATGAAGATTACCTAAAGCCGACATTTTCAGGCTTCCTGCAGGTTTCAGCTCAAATTTAAGACTTTTACAACCATTGTGAATAAACTTTAACTTTTCTATGTCCTTTGTTTTCAATCACACAAGTGAGTGACTGTAGGGGGAGGAAACTAATGGGGAGACGCAGATTGACGTGACACCTGTCACTCAGCACTTCGCTGCAGACGGATTTCAAACATGGCTGCAAACTGGGCCACTTCTTGCCTGCAGTTATTGTGGGATTTGTAGTTTAAGAACCACATATCACCGGTAGCAAACTTAGCGCCTAAAGAAGACGGATAGGCTCAATAGCTGCATTTTCATTGATCATTTAATGCACAATTTTAAATACTGAAAATAAATTTGCTTAATGGAAACACCAATTTTGTAAAAACTCATGTTTTTGTCCTAAATGTTTTGGCGCTAGGGGTGAGACGTATTTTTTTTTGTTTGTTTTTTGCAAAACTGCAGTAGAAAAACATTTTTCACATCACATGATCAGCAACCAGATGTTGCTACTGGCGAAAACCACAAAGAAGACGACAGGAAGTAGGCAGAGGATCAAGGTGTAGAATGTTTATGACTTATTGCCTGAACAAATGTATTTACATGTCATTTTAATTGTGTTTCTTACTTAATGAAAACACCACAATAGTGAAATTCTGTTTTTTCCCCCAACACAATTTTACTTTTCTTTCTTTTTTCCAAATACTTCAACAAATTTCTGTAAAAAATAGTCAGTGTTTTCAACTTTCACACTGCATTTTTACAGAAAATGCATTTTTACAATTTTTTCAAGCTTTAAATGTTGGATTTTTTTTCTTCAAATTTTAGACTTTGTAGGCATGTTATTTTTTTTTTTCTAAACAGAGTCAAGCGGTCCAGAAAAAAACAAATAGAAATCAAACCTGAACTAATTTATCACAGACGTTTCTGGATGTCCCAGTTTGAGCTTGACGTGAAGCGATGAGCAGCTCTGATCTGAGGGACAAAGTGATGAAGCAGCTGATTCCACACTGTCTGCTTTCAGGTGGATTAACAGCCAACAGGCTGACCAGACGGGGAATCCACCCACTCCCACTCCAACCTGGAGGTCAAAGATTCACCGCTAAAAACTAATCATATTCATCAAGATTTAAATCCAGAAGCCAGGAAATATCTGAATTAAACAGCATTTTTGTGCTTTCGGGAAACTGAAAACAATGATCTACTCAAAATAAATCAAGTTAAAAATAAGTGTATTTATGTCACTGAGTGGGAGGCAGAGCAATAAATAAAACCATATTATGCAACAGGCAGCAGTTTGCTGCTGTAAATGTAATCACTGGATTTAACCGACTGGAAGTGACTCAAAGAAACACATGCCTCAATTTAATTAGCAACTCCGAGGGGAAAATTACTGATTTTATCTAACAAAACAAATGAAAAGGGGAAAACAATGATCTATTATTTTTCATTGTGGTCAAGTTTGAGTTAGTAGTGAATTTTCTCTTCAAATCTAAACATATGTTGGCATAATAATGCAAGAAGAGATTCTCAAAGACCAATAAACTTTAAATTATAATGAAGATTTAACAGTGGAACTGGAAGCTACTTTAAATATCCAAAATAAATAAACAAAACAGCAAATAAAATGCATAATGGAGTTTCTGTAAACATAATTATCCTTCAAAATAAGGGCTAGTTGAGACCAAAACACCAGACTGAAGACTTTTATCAACCAGTTTTTATTGGAACGTGAAGGAAAAAAAAAAACAATAAATCATGCAAATGGAAATTACTGAGTTTTTCTTTATTTTATCATGCTAAAACTACATCTTGTTATAAAAAACACCAAACTATAAACACAGCTGTGGAAACCAAAAGCAGAAAATGGAGAAAAGTTTCAATGAATCTGCTTATGGTGCAGAATATTAACACTTCTAGTTTCTTTTTGATCTTATAAAGTAAAACTGTAATCCTAACTATCTATTGATTTCTACAGCTGTCATTAATTAGCTAGCCTGCAGTCTGCTGCTTTACACAGATCCTCGTTTAGCCTCTAATCCTACACACTTAAAATGAAACTGCATTAATTGGTGGCTCTATTTTACTTTTTGTGCTAAATATAACAACAATTCATCTCACTTATTTTTAACTCTGGCATGCGAGTCAGCAACTTTTGCACTTGTTGCCTAGCAACCAACCCCATAGACATTATAGCTGGTATTGACAACAGATTTTAGCCAACTATTGAAATCCATGTTTCCCATTAAACTAAATATATTCTGGTAAAGGAGCTGGTAGGGAGTAATGAATCAGGAATGCTGACAAACCAGTTTCACAACATTTTTCTTTCCTGGGTTTAAAAGAACGCTCTGCTACAAAACAAAATCACTTAATACCACAGCTGAAATTACACAGCAATGACCAAATGATAACAAAAAGCAGATAGTGAAAGTCAGTGTAGAAAACAACAGATGTACAAATTTAAACAGATTTTAGAGTTAATGAAAGAATGTTTTTAAGACTTTAAAATCTAAAACTGATCAAATGCAAGACTTTTTCTGATCTGAAAACATAAACATTTTATATTTAACTTTTCTCGCATGTCGGCTAAATTAAATCCAAATGAACCTGTCCCCTCTGGGTGTTTTCCTGTTTTAGTCAATCTGCAAACATAGATACTTCCTGCAAACTTAAAGACAGAGCATCTCTTAATTAAAATATTCAAAATATTACCGAGTCAGATTCCAGGGCTGAAGTAACTTTATTTATTAGACATATTTCAAGGTTATCCGCTCCATTTGCAGTTTTTAGTCTTTTAATTAAATCAAGACTCTAATAAATCTATCTAAAATCATCAGGAGCAGGTTAATCACTAATGTGATTTGACAGCATAGTGACAAACATTTTGAGCAAATACCAGAAAAATGCATCTAAAAAACAGAAGAAGCTGTGTGATGAAGATTTTAATGAAAACCAGAGCAAACGCCTGGCGGATAAACACGGCAACCTGAAGACTCAACAGCGTCTAAACGACCTGCAGATGTTTCTACTGGAACATTCACCGAGTTTCCAAACACAGATTCCAAGAAGCTAAAAACGTCATGAGAAACTAGATTTAAAGTCAACAAATGGGGAGTATTTTCCATTTACTTCCTGGACTCGGCAGTCAGAGTGGGAGGCCTGCAGGAGGAGCTGGAGGAGATCCCAGCTGTCGGACAGACAGCTGTTGGTTCGCTGCTGCCGTTACGCAACGCAGCGCCGCATCGTGACTGGCAACAACACGTCAAGCTGCTCCGCATGTAATCTAATCAGAAGAGGCCAAAACATCGGAGGAGACCCTGCTCTGCTCACAGGCTCCGTTCAAATCTCTCTGAAGTTTATTGCAATAAATCAATTAATCAAATGATGAATTAAAATGAGCTCAATTTCCATTTGCATGATTTGTTCTACCAAAAACTGGATGATAAAAGTCTTCAGTCTGGTGCTTTGGTCTCAACTAGGATACTTTTGTTTACAGTGTTTTCTTAATTGCCATTATTTGTGTTTCTGTTCAAAATAACATTTATTGATACAAGATAAATCAGCACCAACATCAGAATCGGCTGATATTAGTAATTTTTTAACATATCGGTATCTGTTCGATTAATAAAACCAGGTCGATATTAACAACCAATATTTGTTTTCATTTTGCTGCCATTTGTTTCTGGTCATCAAAACAATAGAGAAATATACACAGTATTGGTAAATATCAGTTATCGGCACCAGCATTAAAATCGGATATCGATATTGGCCCAAATTGTTTTGTCAGTGCATAACGAACAATATTATTATTTATTGCAATGACTTCTGGGACAATTTATAATCCATTAAAATCTGTTATAGTTTTCAGGCCTCCAGAAGCTGCATTGTTTAAAGAGCTCAGATCAAACTGAATCTGAAGGCAAACAAACTTGAATGTATGCTGGATTTTTGTTCCTCTAAAGTCCAAAGAGAAACTTTTTAATCTGCAGAACTGCAGAAAATATTTCCTCTTGTTCCAAAAAGTTTCATTTTTATCTTCCTACTTCTAAAGCTTTAAAACTGTTGCCTTCTGATTCTAATTTTAACATTTGAGTTTTCTCTAGCAAACGTTTGACTTTTCAAAAATTTCCTTGTTTTTCTTTTTTTCCTCTAACAAAATGCCCCTGTTTTCCCCCCAAAGTTTGAGGTTAATGTGAACTTTTGTTTTATTAGCATTTCTGTTTTAGTTTTTTTTTTCAGGAAAAAAAAATAGATTTTTTAAAAAGCAATTTTTTTTCGACTTTTCAGACTCATAAATTTCTTTGTTTTTCCTAGAAGATTTCTGAGATTACAATCCAAGTATCTGAGTTTGTGGCGTAAAGTTACTCCAGCTTTTCATCTACAATTGCAGAACCCCGGTCAGTTTGAGTTGGATGGAGAAAAACAAAGTGGATTCCCACTGAACCCAGCTTCTGTTTCGTACCTTGATGGCGCATGGTGATGGTGTCGTTGGGGTTGGTGGAGCCCACGTTGAAGATGACCACCGCCGAGGCGTTGTGGGCGGCAGCATGGCGGATTTTGTCCTTGGTTGTGCAGTTCCCATGGGCTATCAGGGCTATCCAGCCGGCCGCGGCCTGCGAAGGCACCACGAACCGGGTGTGGGGGTCACAGGCCTGCCGGTCGAGCGGGGAGGCGGGCAGCACCACCACCCCTTTGGCGTCCCGCTTCGGGGAATGCTCCCCGTAGCGGCCGCACTCCGTCTTCTCGGTGCGCACCTCGGAGGTGGCCGGGTCCATGTAGGTGATGTTGACGAAGGCGGTGTACCACTCCTCCCGCTCGGCCACGGTGAAGTCCAGACACAGCAGGTGGACGAAGCAGAAGGAGAGCAGCCACGTAGAGAGGGCCAGACTGCGGCAGGCCGCCACCAGAGAGCCCGGCGCCATGGCGGTCCTCCCCGGGGAGAGAGGTCGGAGGACACCGAGAGCTTCAGCGCCGAGGACCACTACTACTCCACCATGTCACCCACCGGCCTACCGAGAGTTTATTTCACCGAGTTTATCGACGCAAACTCCGGGTTTGCTTCTCCGTTCAGCCGCTCCCCTCTGCTGCTGTCAGCCAGCCGTTAGCGGGCTCCATTTCCAGCCAAACAAAAACGGTTAAATTCCGAACAATGGCAGCTCGGAGTGAAATAAACCCCGGGCACAATCCGACCGCCGCCCGCCGCGGTGATACAGCAAGCGGGCGGACACTGTGCACCGTGACCGTGGAGAAATTAGATTTTTGCTCTTTAGAGCTGACGGTACTCGCAGCTGCTACACTGCATTGTTTTGACTGGGCCACTGTGAAGCTACAGGAAGCGAGGCGATGGACTTCCGGAAGTTACATTTAAAAACAAAAGTCTCTTTGTGTTACGACCAGAATCTCAAATTTGACGACTAAGACTTGAACATCTATGCTGAAATAGTGATGTCTTTCTATAAATATATTTACAATTAATTTTTTAAATCAATGTTTTCATGTGTTTTTAAGAGAAAACACTGAGTTTTATATTTTACTTTGGAGGCGCATAAACCCTATCTCCATGTATGTATCTTAAATTAAGATTATGTTGCCACCTAACGGCGAGAAAAAAAATTACAAATAGTTTAAAAATCGAAATTAATTTAATTCGTTGAGCGACTTTTAAGTGAATTTTATATGACTAACATGACCGATAAATAATAAAATATTTAGTTATCTTTCATAGAAGTAATTCTTATTTTTTGATATAACAAATAAACATTAACATTAATGTAAAAATATTTTGTACTAATTTTTATGGATATAATAAGTTTTTATAAGTGACAATAATATTAACTAATTCTTTTAATTTCTTGTAAAGGATATGTCTTCTCCACTGTTTTTAAATATCTGGCATATTTACATGACTGTTTGATGTATTCATGCTGATTAATATGGATTGCTATCAGTCCATACATTCATGAGTATGTTACACATTAACAACAGCAGCAGCAACAACAAAAACAACAACAACAACAACAACAACAACAATTTTATTCTATTTGTTAGAATCTCTAAAGAATCAAAAACAGTAGCATTATTATTGGGAATTAAATGATACAAGCAGACATTTGTAAGAGACAATTAAAAAGGTGTTTAATAGGTCACACAAGTCTTTCAAAAATCCATTTATTATTGAAAAAAACCCATCTTAATTATGTGATCAGTACAACTGAATACAGTTTGTTATTGTGGAGTGCAATGCAACTGAGCCAGAAGAAAAACATAAAAAAAAGACATTGAATAAATTACACAATTAAAAATATGTTTAGAGTAAATGCAATTTAAATGTTTAGTAAAATGTGTGTGATTGAAAAACACAAATCTAGATACAACCTAGTTTTCTGTTAATTTCCTGTTTCCAAACCAATCCAGAAGGTGGCGGTAATGCTGCTTTAAGTTGTTTGCAAACAGGCCAAAAAATGAAGAAGAAGAAGAAGAAGAAGAAGAAGAAGAAGAAGAAGAAGAAGAAGAAGAAGAAGACCTCGAGACCTACTCGACAACAAAAGAGAGCGATTCATTGAGGGTAAGTGAAGTTTTATTTTAATTTACACTGTTTAAATCAGGAAAATACGATACTGTGGTAATACCTAGAAGCTAAAATTAAAAAATTTTGCTGTTTGGAAAACGTCCCGTCGTAGCACAGAGAGCTGAGAACAGCTAACCACCCTGACTACATTTTAGCTCCGCCATGTTGGGTGAGTTTGTTTTAACTGCTACACCGATATTAACGCGGCTTTATAATTGCGATCCCCTTACATAGAAGATATATATATCTTATATATATAATCGTTTAGATTAATTCTTTTCAAATAAAGGCGTTCAAAATAGTTTTCACATCACAAAACACTTTCTTATTGATATGCTGGATGGTTTTTCCTGCGAAATTCTTGAGGTGTTCGATAACGACCATATTAGCAGTGTGGGGCGCTGGACAGCGAGAACAAATAACTAGAATTTTAAATTAGCATATGACCACTTTAGTCATAGACCCTATTTACGCGGGATTAATTTTACCTACAGATCACGTTATTTTTAATAATGGCATAGATGGTCTGTGTTTTTAATCCCGTGTGTTTTGGCCATTTCAGTAATTTGTAAAGTAAAATTTACCCTTAAATTACCAACTAGATTTTTCTGAACTCCGATATTACTAAACCACTGTGAATAGGTATGCCTGTAATTTGAACAGAAATGGACTGGATCTGAAACATAATTGCGCGTATTTTGTTTTCTCGGGTGCATTTTTATTTGCTTTTGGCGAAGAATGGAGGCTGCATTGAAAACTTTTTCGATCCTGGACCAGGAAAACCCTGTCGACCCATAAGGTACATCATTAAAAAGAAAAGAGTGAAGAGAACAAGCAAAATCAGATGCAAGCGGAGGCCCACATCATGCATTTCACAGTGAGGTAAGAATAATTTTCTTCTGTTTGTAGCCTTATATAGCTAGTTATAAAGCTAGCTAGTGCTTGGTTATCCTGTGTGAATGCAAAATATAAAAAGTAAACGTTGGGAAGTAATTTATGTATTACATTGTGTCCCCATATAATGCTTATCCGGTGCGACTAGGGCTTTTGTCAGGTTTTAATTGTCTTTGGAAGCTGTTTTTAGATCACAGGTGTGATGCTGAAATTTAATTTCCCTTCTGCTTGCACGTTACCACATAATACAATTAAGCTATACTGCTAAAGCTTACATCTGAAATGATAATGTTTCCACTGTTTCAGTAGCTAACAGGCGAGTAATGAGGGGGTGGAAAGGTTTCCTCTTTGAGAGAGGAATAAAACTCAACCAGTGAAACAGGCTGTTTGATATATAAATGAGCTTGAAAATTTGTAGTTTAGATTAAGATTTAATACCAAGGTACGTCTTTATCTTTCATCAAATAGCATTATGTGGATGTGCACAGCTTAGAAAGAACCCAACAGCTTTTTCTTCAACTAATTATTTCAATTTTGTCAATGTTTTTACTTCCATTACAAAACAGAATTTTGACTTTATTCTCTGTATTTTAATGTCATTTATGAAAAACAAAGCCATCAAACACATCCACCAACTTTTCTCCTTCATAAAAACTTTAATTGTACATAAATTTTATTTTATTTTTTGTAACATTAGCTGACATATTCAATGGCTGAAAGACAATTTCTTGGAAGCAGACATGAGCTCACTGATGACCTTATAGAAGAAAAACAATAGTTGCTTTTAAAAAAAAAAAGCCACGTAACTGCATTTTATGTATAATTTAAACTAAGGCTGGATGTGGCCCCCGGGTCGTAACATGCTCAGCTTTTATTTTAGACCTTCCTATTTAAGCCAACTCGGTACCACTTTCATCCTCTGCAGATGTTGCTCGAACGTGGAAGAAACACAACAACATCCAATTGCAACAGAATACATATGTACTGCTGATCACCAAACGGTTGCTGCATCAACCTTTGGAAAGTGCTGGGTCTATTACAAAACCCAAAGGGGATTTGTAACGGGCATCTGGTTATACCCACTCTGTAAACTATGAAAGATACCCTTCAAAGTTTTACAAATAATCCATTCACATGTAAAGTCCCATCCTTCTTAGCTGTGGCAATGGGACGAGTGTAAGGGATGCTGCTTTTTGTAATGACTTGTTGTTGCACACATGGATACTGTAGCTCTGTAAACAGGGTCTTTTACTTGTAAATGAAAGATAATGGGTGCTTGAGTTTAGTCAGAAGTGGTGCTGCAGGTTCAAATGTCGCTTTGATTTACGTCAAGTGTTTAGTTGCAGGGATGGCTTTACGAGCTGCTGTTTGCTTAGTTTGAATAATTCCTATGTGCAGTTGTTGATGGAACTGTGCAGTTTGCTGCTTTTTCAAGAAGGACCTTTGGATATGTTCTAGTTTGAGAAACAGATGATTAAATCTGGATGTAGATTTTAAATGCCAACCTTTGGATGGAAGTTGCTGCTGTCAAAACAGTTAAACCTTAAATCTTTATTTCAAACTGTTCTTATTACTGTAATTAAAGTCATATGAGTTGTTTTACTTTGAGCCATAACACACTAACAAACACTGTTTATTGCGTCACTCAAAGTATCACAAGTTCAGATTAAAATTCAAACTAGTTAAATCTCTAAGGGCCTGATCTAATAAAATTCTAATTTTCTCAGGCAAAAAAGATTACATGTGCAATTAGTAGTCATGTTGCGGTCTAAAGTCAGTCCAGGTATTCTACATATTTTAGTTATCTCTTGGTTTATAACACCAAAATCCAATGATGGTTCATTTGCAATCTTCTGTAGAAGTTTGACATGCTAAGGAGGTAGCTGCACCATTTGAATTAGCTGTGTTGGAGCAGAGACACATCTAAAACTGTCAGGATGCCATCACCAAAGGACTGCTACTAGACACCCACGTGTTAAACTCATGAGGCTTCAATTGTTTCTGAAGGAAACAAGAAATTAAAGTGAGCTTTTGATTCAGAAGCCCCAGTCCAGCAATGAAATAAATAAAACGGAGCTTAAAACAGGCTTTTCATTAGCTGCCAAATATATTTTAGTATGTGAAGACATCAGAAGCCACTTGCTACGGTTATTAAGTAACCCTCTCACAGTCTTAAGGTGATGCTCAGGAGGACTGCGGCAAATGTAGGCAAGGACACACTTCTCTCTGAATAGTTCCTTAATTTAGTTGCTGGCCTAACTGGAGGAGCAGTTAGTGTCTTTTTAGGGGCAAGAATTGCCTTTTGCCTGGAGAGAATTCAGTTTCCTAAAACTGGAAAATTGATGTCAAAGTTAGAGAAACTGATAGGGCAATGGTAGTTGGAGTTCACTCACAGTCGGCGGGTTGCTGGTTCGACCAGGTGGCGCCAGTGCATGGTAGCCTCGCTTCTGTCAGGCTGTCACAGGGCAGCTGTGCCTGCTATGCAGTAGCTTGTCACCATCCAGCGTGACGGTGTGTGCGTGAATGAGTGAATGATTGTAGTGTGAAGTGCTTTAAGGTCCTCTGCACTTGATAAGGTGCTATCCAAGTACAAAGCCGTTTACAAACCTTAAGACGTTGCTGATGTAAAAACAGTTAAACATCCACTTTCTGCTTCAAACTGCTCAGTGTAATTAAAGTCATGAGTCTATCTTCTTCCTGCTATAACACATTGTAAACTCCACTTACATCAGATGTTGAGAGCAAAGTTCAAACTAATTAAATCTTTAAAACGGGGAATTTCACTCTGCTGTTACTAAGAGGCAAAATGGCTCAGATGGAGAAAGTTTCTTGTTCCATCTGTCTGGATCTACTGAAGGACCCAGTAACAATTCCCTGTGGGCACAGCTACTGTATGAACTGTATTACAGATGTCTGGGATGGAAAAGATCAGAAGGGAGTTAACAGCTGCCCTCAATGCAGGAAAGAGTTCATCCCAAGGCCTGATCTGGAAAAGAATTTCATATTGGCAGAGTTGGTAGAAGACCTGAAGAAGACTGAACCCAAAGCTGCTCCAGCTTATCCCTGGTCTGCTGAACCTGAAGAGGTGACCTGTGATGTCTGCACTGGGAGGAAGATGAAAGCTGTCAAGTCCTGTTTATCCTGTCCAGCTTCTTATTGTCAGGATCACCTCCAACCTCACTATGATGTTCCTGGACTGAAGAAACACAAGCTGGTGAATCCCTCCAAGAACCTCCAGGAGAACATCTGCTCTCGTCATGATGAGGTGATGAAGATCTTCTGTCGTACTGATCAGCAGTGTATCTGTTATCTCTGCACTATGGATGAACATAAAGGCCATGAAACAGTCCCAGCTGCAGCAGAAAGAGCTGAGAAGCAGAAGAAGCTCCAGGAGAGTCGACAACAAATCCATCAGAGAATCCAGAACCGAGAGAAAGATGTGAAGCTGCTTCAACAGGAGGTGGAGGCCATCAATGTCTCTGCTGATAAAGCAGTGGAGGACAGTGAGGAGATCTTCACTGAGCTGATCCGTCTCCTCCAGGAAAGAAGCTCTGAGGTGAAGCAGCAGATCAGATCCCAGCAGAAAACTGAAGTGAGTAAAGTCAAAGATGTTCAGGAGAAGCTGGAGCAGGAGATCACTGAGCTGAAGAGGAAAGACGCTGAGCTGGAGCAGCTCTCAATCACAGAGGATCACAACCAGTTTCTCCTCAACTACCCCTCACTGTCAGCACTCAGTGAGTCGACACACTCATCCAGCATCAACATCCGTCCTCTGAGATACTTTGAGGACGTGACAGCAGCTGTGTCAGAGCTCAGGGACATAATACAGGATTTCATGAAAGACACATGGACAAACATCTCACTGAGAGTCACTGAAGTAGATGTTCTACTGTCAGAACCAAAGACCAGAGACGAATTCTTAAAATATTCACAAGACATCAATCTGGATCCAAGTACAGCAAGTAGAAATCTGTTGTTGTCTGAGAAAAACAGGAAAGTCACCAAAATAGAACAACAACAGTCTTATCCTGATCATCCAGACAGATTCACTGGTTTTTGTTTTCAGGTTTTGAGTAGAGAGAGTCTGACTGGACGTTGTTACTGGGAGGTGGAGTGGGGCGGAGGAGAAGTCTATGTAGCAGTTTCGTACAAGAATATCAACAGATCCGAAGGATTTGGATTAAATGACAAATCTTGGTCATTATGTTGCACCACAACCAGTTGTACATTTTATCACAACAGAGTTGAAATTCCAGTGATAGGTGAAGTTTCCTCCAGAATAGGAGTGTTCCTGGACCACAGAGCAGGTATTCTGTCTTTCTACAGCGTCTCTGAAACCATGACTCTCCTCCACAGAGTCCAGACCAGATTCACTCAGCCGCTACATGCTGGGATTAGACCTGTCTGGTATGGAGCCTCTGCTGAGTTCATTAAACCTAAATAGTCAGCAGTGATCTGATGTCAAGATGGTTAAAATGTGTATTTTAGTGTCTGTTTTAGTCTCCATCATTGTTGCTGAGAGTTCAGTGTTATAATTTCTTCCCTGATCAGAGATCAGCTGTCTTTATGGAGCTACTTTGTCATCTTTTTGTTTTGTTGATGTTGGAGTTTGTTTGGGTGCTTCCCCATTGGATCTATTACTGCTCAGGAGGATTTTGATTAAACTAATTACATTTATTGCCTTCTCAGGCCAAATGTTCAAATCCACAAATGGATTAGCTGATGAAACTAATTGTTCTAACATCATCAACTAGGACATCAACCATTATTTTATACCACAAAGATTTTTGCACTACATACATTGGGGTCAAACCTTTGAAAAACACCATGAACTTTTTAACACTGCCATCTTGTGGACAAAATGTGCAACTATTGGTTTTGGGCTCGACCATCTTTCCAAAGTCAGGCTGAATATTTGAGGTGGTTCTGTGAAAGACAGCACAAAGGTTATCATGACAGAGAGCTGACCTGGATCTGTTGAACACCACTGAGAACATTTTTCCCCAGACATAGGAGGATCCAAACCAAACCAAACCAACAAACTCTGAAAGGGTCTCAAGTATGGAAAGGTTTTGTCTTTGAGAGAGCAATAAAACTCTGCCAGTGATATTGACAGTAAATGCTCAGATGTAGAAATGAGCATAAAATGCTATATTTTAGAGAAAGATTTATTACCAAGGAAAGTCTTTTAGCATCTAAACGCCCCTTACTCTGAAAACGTTGACATTTTTTCAGTGTTAACTTTATTATTGACATCCACCAATTTTTTCCTTTGTGAAAACATTAATTTTGCATCAGTTTTACGTTAACTGACACATAGGGCTAAGACCTAATTTCTTGGAAGTTGTTCAGCACATTTACTCAGGTTTTTAAACTTGCTGATGATCTTAATGAAGAAAAACATTTGTGGCCTTCAAAATAAAAGCTGTATTTTTGAAATTATAGCAATGTAATTTACACTTTTACTAAAATCTCACATGGGGTGGTCAAAGGTGGTCAGTAAAAGGAAATGGGTTTTTTTTTATGTGGACCCCAGGAAGAGTAGCCATTGTTATGGCAATGCCTATGGGGATCCAAATAAACAGTCATTCAACTAAACTGTAAAAATATCCTTTCTTTTAAATTTATTGGCTTTGCTACTTTATAATCATCTTAATATCTGTATACACATGATTATCATAAAGATCTGCCTAGACAGCAATAAATGATAGTTAATTATTTTAGTCCCATGCATTCGGGCTCTCTGTGTGATAATCTGTGTTTTCTGTGTAGTTATTTTTGAGGTTTTTCTGTGTTTAGTTCTGTTCCCTAATTAGGGGCGTGGTCGAAAAATTTGTCACAAGGGAGGAATTCGGGCCTACTTTGAAAAATTCCTGAGGGAAGGGGGGGGGTCACAGGAGAACGGGACCAGGGTACCCCGAAAGGGCTCGACTTCGATACCCTCGTGCAGTGGGTTCCAGATTTTTCACACCTAGACGGGCCGCAGGGCAGAACCCCAAAGTTTGTAAATTTGACCAAAAACACTTTGGAATTTCATTAAATGCACTCTTAGGACAACGAATAGGTGTAATACTTGTAAAACGACACCAGGGGGCATCCTGAAATAAGGGAGGAACTTTGGAAGGAATAAAAGAGCATTCTGACATTTGAGGGGATTTTACATGGGACATCTTGGAGGATGTCTCCGTCTTGTCCCAAGAGGGTATCGGGCCTCCCTCGTCTCATCACACAGAAATTTGAGGGGATTTTACATGGGACATCTTAGAGGATGTCTTCATCTTGTCCTAAGAGTGCATCCAGCCTTACTCTTTTATTGCAGACACCCAAGGCCTGTAATAAAAGAGGAGCTGTTGCGCCTCCTTTATGACAGTGACTTCATCCATGTGATGAGGGAGCAACGATTCCTCCTCTTTTATTACAGGCCCTGCAATACGGATGGGGGTGTATTAAGGTTGTGCAATAAAGGAGGAACAGTTCCTCTTTTATTGTACAACCTTAACACATCCAGCACTGTTCTGGGGGGCACCATGGAGCTCATGTAGCCGGGAAAGAAGCACCACAACACAGGAGGAGTCAGTGTTGGAGCCAGCCGAATTCCTCAATAGTGAGGTAGAGCTTTGCAGCTCCTGGGTTGTGGTGCTTCTTTCCCGGCTACATGAGCTCCATGGTGCCCCCCAGAACAGTGCTGGATGTGTTAAGGTTGTACAATAAAAGAGGAACCGTTGTGCCTCCTTTATGACAGTGACTTCATCCATGTAATGAGGGAGCAACGATTACTTCTTTATTGCACTACTTTAACACATCCACGACGCCCCCATAATAAATTTAAGGATGCACTCAGAAACAGCTCCACTTACCCTAACAGGTTCATTAAATTTTATTTAAACATTTTTGAATTTTTTTTTATATTGACACATTTTTCTATAAATATATATAACAATACTTTTGAACATTTGAACACTTCGAAATGAACTGTTGTACTTTTCGCAATGAGAACATTGAGAGTAATTCAAAAATAAATGTTAAAATTACTCTTTAAAAGTTAAACAAAAGAAAATCGCTTAACATTTAGAATGACACTTCAAACAAAATTTGAACCACAGATTAAGTGCTCATTCATGTCCAGCATTGAACCCTGCAAGCATGTGTAGGTGTCCCTACATGGGGGAAAGGTGGCCATTACACCTGGGTCCCATACAGGTTTGTCCGTGGGTTCCACTGCGGAAACTCATATGGGTTTCAATGTTAATGTGCATAGGTTTTTAACAATACATTTTATTTTTTGTCTCTTTTTTATTCTCGCACGCAATTTGCGCTCGTCAGGTGTGTTCCCGGGGGCCCTTCTTGAAAGCTTGTATGATGTATTGGACTACGTCTACGAAGTTGTAGCATAGTTCTTCTTTGTTTCTTGGCTTTTCAACTTGGCGTTTTCAACGCTGAAGAAGAAGAGGAGGCTTCCTCCGATTCTGGCTCCTTAGGTGTCTCCTCTCCAGATTCACCGGAAGCCTTGCGGGATGGGGTAGATCCGACCTGAGGGGGGGAGGTAGGTCCAGCCTGAGGGGGGGAGGGTGATGAGGTAGGTCCAGCCTGAGGGGATGATGGAGGTGAATAAAAGAGGATTTGTGAATGATTCAAAATTGCAGGCACTGATGTATCATAAACATTAACTTGAATTACATAAAGAGAGATTAAAACAAACCTTTTTTTGCCCTGGCCCCATCTCCTCCTCAGACTCACTGGATGATTCTGATAATGTTAACATTTCAGCATCCTCTTCCCGGTGTGATGATGACACTTCAGGATTCGTTATGTGCTCAAATTGTTTCCGTATGGTCAGCAGTTGGGACGCCGTCTTATCAAGAGCGTAGAACTTTTCTACTGTGCTAATATTGTGGCACATGGTTTTGCTAAGTTCATTGCGGCTCTTAGGTGACAGGACATCTCGAACCTTGGAAAATAGAGTAGGTTTTTTCAATATTTCATTTTTATGTTTGGTTTTGTAAATGTAAAATTGATATAATTACTTACGTATGTTGCAATGGACGTCCTAAAGTCCGTAAATGTGGGGGCTCCGGGAAGGCCCATTTCCCCCCATATTTTCTGCAGAACAGTCACCATCTTTTTACATTTTGTAAAGCGTTCTGTGAACATTAAAAGATCTGTACTGGGCTTCATTTTATTTCGAATGAGGAGCCAGTGTTGGAGCCAGCCGAATTCCTCAATAGTGAGGTAGAGCTTTGCAGCTCCAAAAGCCCGATTTGTCTTATGTTCTTTCACCTGGAATGAAAAGACAATAGAGAAAGTACCTGAAATAAGGCACACACTGGGGTAGGTTCTCAAAATGAGTAACCTCTATTGCAGGCGTTATGTTTCTGAAATGAAGGAGGAACTGTTCCTGGTATTAAATCTCTGACACTGTGGCCCCTAACATGCACACATTTCAGATTGTCAACTGAAGAGGCCTTGGTCAAAAGGAGAAGCCCAATTCCAAGTATGTAGTTAGATACTTTATTCAAGAGGAAATAACAAGGGTACAGATGTCTGTTATCTGAAACAGAAGGAAAGCAATAGAAGTGTATGTTATTAACCACATGGGTAATCTACTATGGAGGACCAAAACCGACATAATTAAAGCAGAAATACATATTTAGTTCTTCCTTTTTCTTACACGAGTTTCTGTCAAGTAATGTATATAGAGTATTTTTTATTTCCCTTAAACATGGGTTTTTGTCAAGAAAAATACATATTTTGTTTTGGCTTTTTTCGCTTCTCCCTTTTTTTCTTGCCGTTTTTCCTGCTGCATTGTTATGTTAATGAGGAGAGTTTCATGAAGGAGAGCTTCTACGTCTACTATTGGCCAATAGAGCTTTGGAACCAACGTCACTGCGTCAGATGTTGTGGGGCGTTTAGGTGCAGTCGCTCGGTGCCATCTTTGCAGGTCACAGACCAAAACAAACTTTATCCCAGTGGTTTTATTGTGTTACCGACAGTTAATGACTGTTGCTACAAGCTTATCCAGGACGAGTGAATGGATATAGTACAAATATTCACAATTATGAAATAAAACAAAAACTGACAATACTTACATGAATCAGATGTTGCCATTACACACAGTCTTTAGAGGTGATGTCATGAAGTGAGGGTGTGGCGTACCGAGTAAAAAGGGGGCGTGTCCAATGAAGCCCCGCTTCGAGGCTTGCGTCATCTTGCTGAAAACCACGTGACTGGCAACAAAAGAGGCCTGCATTACCTGGGTCACGTGACTGCGTGTCGGATTTCAAAATAAAAGCGGTGAACCGTACAGCTTCCTGGGTTGTCCATTTAGTCACGCATCAGAGGAGAATATTTGTCTTCAGTGAACATTGACCGACATATTTGATGTGTATTGATGATGGCACTCAT